ATATTTGTTGTTCCGACGTGGAGTAGTAAAGGCTTCCGCATGCAAAGTGTATAAAGGAATGTCAATAAAGGATCGCGTTACGAGAAATAATAAGTGGTTTCTCGAGATGCCTCTGAGAGAGACTCGAGCTCTTGTTTCGCAAATATTATCGCAAATATCAAAGAATGTGTCGAGTGCACCCATGTGTGTACCTCGAGTTATAAATTTGCCTTCAAACATTGTACCTTCGTTGCGTTAAAGAAACTCACGAACTATGTAGTTACGAAAGTAGAGATTTCCATGCATCAATTTAACAGTTGTCGATACAACAGTGACATTTAATTTATTTCTTTAAAGACTTTGGATGAAAATAAATCTAAATCCAATTCTGTTAAGTTCAAAATAAATTTTCTCTAGTATCGAAAAAAAAAAAATTTAAAGACAGATTTAGGATCGCAGTAAATTCTTTAATCGCACTTTAACGCATGCGATTTATAGTAATCGCAATTCTATTGTTTATCTGATCAAATGACTTTCACGAATCCCGCCCTTCGCATTTAGCAGCAGCGAAATATCGCGGCTTAATCCCGAAATATCGGTTTGTGGGACACGGCGATAAATTATAAGCCTTTCGATTGCATGATACGTATATGCTTATTTACCTTTACAGGCTATAAATCTTATTTGTAAATTGTTTTCATATACTGTCCATAGAAAGTTTGCAAGCGTATAATATTTATTAAAAGGTGCAAATACGTTTGATATAAAGGTAAAATAATTAATCACGACAGAGATAAAAACGATTTCGGTAATATAGTTGGTTTTTTGCATCTTTGAATAATTCTTTTTTAATACAAATCGATTTCTCTTGTCATTCTGCGCGTATAAGAATATTAAAATAAAGGCGAAAAGTGAATGTTTTCGAGATATTTCACATTAAAATAATAACGAAGTATATGAAAGTAGATATAAAGGATATAAAATATTCATTCCGATATAAAATATTGAAAAAACATTCATTTTTCGATAATTTTACCTCAAAAAAAATTCTCTTATTTGTAAAATAATAAGTTGTATAAATAATGATTTGTGGAAACAAATTTTATAGATCTATAATCTATGTGATTCACTGTATAATACCAAAATATATTCTACTTCTAATAAAGTTGATTTTTTATCTGTTAAACATTTTTCAACTCTCTCATTCTCCTTATCCTGAAACTTTGATCTACTTAATCCTAATCGGTATTCGCCCCGAAATTTCCTTAACTGGTATTCGCCGGACCAGTGTATTTTAAACTAATGTATCTTTGCTTAAAGTAGTTAACGTAATTGAACTATATTTCTTTAATTTTAAAGATTAAAATCCGAAAGATCATGGAACTTGAAATTATATAAAATTGTGAAAAATATTTTTTATAAATAATCGAAGAAAACGTAGTCATACTTGAGTCGCCGATACCGATTAGGCTCAATAGAATACTTAGTAGTTGGAACACTGTTAAATCTATAGTGTCAAATTTAACCTAACGTGAGTCGCCACTGCTCCTACTAAATATATCATTATTTTTTATCAGAACGACGATTAAATTTGATTCTATATCGTGTCAATTTGACACTATATACTATCAAATTGATACTGTATAGTGTCAAACATAACCATTGTTTTAGTATAAAATAACGATATGATTGAGTAGGAGTAGTGGCGACTAACGTTAAGTTAAATTTGACACTACAGATTTAACAGTGAAGAGTAATCAAATATATTATAGTTGGGAAAATATCATAATATTATTGCGCGATTTCTATTTTTATACGATTATTTATGATTATTCACCTTGATGCCGCTGCGACCCTGCTGCTTGAGCAACACGTTCTCCGGCTTCATGTCACAGTGTATAATCTTATTCTTATAGAGCGCGTCGAGGCAGAGGAGCAGCGAGTGCGAGAACTTGCGCACAAGCTGCAGGCTGAAGCCCTTAAAGTTGTTCTTTTTGATGAGCTCGTACAGGTTGATACTGAGGAGCTCGAAGGTGATGCACATGTGGCAGCGGAAGGTGAACGAGTCGAACATGTGGATGATGTTCATGGTGTTGTCCTTGTCCTGCTCGCGCAGCTTGCGCAGTATACGTATCTCCTCGTGCGCCTGACGGTGGAAGCGCTTCTCGTTCCGCACCATCTTCAGTGCCACGTGCTCGTGCGTTTTGTGATCATAGGCCTTGACCACTTGACCGAACGAGCCCTTGCCGATGACGCGGAGAACCTCGTACCGATAAGCCACGTGGTCGTGCGGCACATGAATGTACGAGCCCTGTTCGTTGTCGTACTCGTTGTTGTTCGGCCGGCCGATGATGCCCGGCCGTTTCTTGGCGTTCGCGCCGATGAAGTAGATCTGCTGGTAGTTGAAGATCTCGTGGTGCTCGTACGGCGTCAGCTTGTTCATGTAAAGCTTCATTACCATTTCCGGCGTGATGGTCGCCGTCTTCGGTTTCACGCTGACGATGCTGTTGTTGCTGACACCACCGCCGCCACTTCCACCGCCACCGCTGCTTCCGCCACCACCAACGCCTCCGCTGTCACTTCCGCCGCCGCCTCCTCCTCCTCCCCCTCCTCCGCCACCACCGCCACGGCCAGCTCCGCTGTTAGAATTGCCGTCGGAACGGCCGTTTCTCACCACTGGACTGCTCGACTGGCTGTTGGGTTGCGAATGCGAATTATGACTGAAACTGTAATTCACCGGCCAGTTACTCAGGCCGTAGCTCTCGCCTTTCCACGGTAATTTCTGGTAACCCACGTAAGGCACCGACTCGTCGCCGCCACCACCTCCACCTCCACCTCCACCTCCACCTCCACCTCCACCTCCACCGCCGCCCCCGGTCTGCTTCAGGCCGGTCAACCCGGTACCCTTGATGATCGGCGGCAGGTGGTTGCTGCTCTCGCTGCTCGAGATGTACGGCTGTGTCGAGATCGCGCCCGCCTGCACGAACGGATTCGTTTTGGAGAGGGGCATCTCGATCCTGCTTGCCGCCGCCGACAGGGCCAAACTAGTCATTGGTGCCCATTTGTTTCGCGTCCGTTCTATCTGTCCTCGTCGAGGTTCGTCACCGAGAACGCGCGAGCGTATCGTCCAGTCGACGAATCCACGTGGCGCGCGATCAGCGTCCCTCCGTGTGTCTTGATACGCGCGTGATCCTCGCGCTCTCGCCGGACGCGAAGGACAATCCGGATGTTACGGGAGACATGCTTCTCCGTTAAGACAACGTTGACTCGGAGGCGAGGATCCAGGATGACTGCGCGCTACGGATGAATCAAATTCGGACTAACGAAGCAACCGCGTGAACTCACTCCTCCAGGTGAACAAATCGAAGCGAACGAGGAGCGCCCAGAGAAGCCTTTCTCTCGGGACGAGAAACGATAATTCCACTAATTGTATTCTCCAGGGACCGCGGAAAAACGACGGTGCCCTCGTAAATGCAGCGGACTAGAAGAGGTTGCGCTCTCGCGCGCTCGGCGACGAGTTGCAAATCACGCTGTTTCGAGCTGGTCGACCTCCTTCCTTCCTTCCTTCTTTCTTCAGTCGATCGGCGATCCGGCTTGACGCGCGAACTCACAAATTCCGGACCGCACTCGCGCACAGCGGGAGGAACTTATACGGAACCGCACTTATCTCGTGACGCGCACCGTCACACCCGTGAAGCCTCCGTCGAGACTCTCGGCCGTCGAGTATCGTCGCAAACCGGCACCGCAGAAGGCGATCGCGACGTCGCTCGCACGCCCCGCGCTTCGAACGTCTTCTAATTTTACGATCTGTCGCGCGCGACCAGGGCGAGCGCATCATCGCCGCGCGTGGAAGCGGGGCTTAACCAAAAGTCTCCCGACTCTGCTCGCTCGCTCGCTCGTGCTCTCCGCGCGGAAGGTTATTGGCACCGGGCCGCCGCCGCGAGTTTGACGACTCCGCCGTCGA